AAAAAAAAAAAAAAAGAAAAGAAGAGGTTGTGCCAACGCACATTCTCAGGGACAGGAGAGAGAAAATGCTGACTTCTCTGTCAGTTTAGATGATTAGCTTTAAAAGAAGAAAAAGCTTAACCGATTTGATAAGTAAAAAATGGTATCTTTCTATTTAATTAGCTTTTAAAAGTTACTAATGACATTGAACCTTGTTTCATATTTACTTTGTCTCTTGTTTATTGTTTGTGGAAAGTGTTGCTTTTTGAAATTTTGTATGTCGCTTAGCCTGTCTTTCTAAAATCAGTTAAATATTCACCTCTGCTCCCTCTCACTTCAGTTTAAATGGTCTTGTTTTTATTGCAAATATTGAGTTCATCTGGATTCAGTTTTGGGGGTATGGTTTAAGGGGAAGTGCAAACATTGATTTCTTTGCCCACAGTTTTTCTAGTCACTGTTTCTGTTGAGAATTTAAAAAACCAAAGTGGCCTTTCTCACCTAATGGCCGCAATTGCACATCTTCAGCCTAGTAACTGGAAATGAGCTGGTGTGAGGAGCCCCAGAGTACCTTATTTTATTGTGATTCTTCCCGGCCTGCTCAGGAAGGAAGCATTTCCAGTCTCGTTAGGCTGACATTGAACTTTTGCTGTACCCTTGTCTGACCCTCACCTCTAGAAGAGTTGACCCCTGGGGACTGCTAGGTAACCAGTGGGATCCAGTTCCTAGAAATGACTGGCAATGTCCTTAAATAGCCTTCAGGGTTCTAGCTGCACTTTACAGAAGAGAGGAGGCCCAGAGGCGGTGGGTCACAGGTGTGAGGGCCCTGGAGCCAGCCTGTGGCAGAGTCCGTAAGCACCCCCAGTACCCCCAGTCTGTGCTGCTGGCTCAGAAAGCCCCAGGGCACCATCACCTCTTTCTTGCTGCACCTTCTGTTCACACAAATCTGGCTCATCAGCCCTTTCTTGTTCCAACCATTTAGCATTTCGGCTCCTCTCCTGAAAGAGAGGCCCAGATGAAGCAGCAGGATCCCAGGTGAGCCCAGGTGACATTTCCTGGGGAAGCAGGAAGAATCTGGTGGTCATGGAGCTGTCTGCTGTCTGTGTCCTGGTCCTTCTGCCTTTCCTGGGCCCAAGTGGCATGGGCCTGAGCCTCTGTGACCTCAGGCCTGCTCTGTCCTTTGCTCAGAGGACACAGGCCGGGCCTTGACCTCAGAAGCCAATGCAGGACACTGGTCCTGGAACTGGTCTTGGTCCCCCACTCCCCAGGGAGTATCTGGCTTTTCTGGTTGCTTGACCTTCTGTGGGATCCTCACCTGGATGCGACTCCCCTCCAGGTGGCACATTCTCACCTGCTGGGCCAGCTCACCCTGGCCAGGGCAAACCCTCGTCAGAGGTGCTGTTGCTGCTGTCCAGCGGATGTGTGGAGTTCTCTGGAGAGGCTCACATTGGTTAGAACTCCGGCAGGGCGGTACGTTCACAAACTCAGGGTGCTGGAGCAGTTGTGAGCGTCATTTTTCTCTGTGAAGGATCATTTTTTCTTTACCGTGTAGGTAGATTTTCTTACTGTGTAGGGACACCTTTCAAAGACATGCTCCTTGGCTGGGAGAGCAGGCTGCATCTAATCTTGTCCTTCACAACAAAGCCTGGCTGCTGAGTTTTTGTCTTGATTTCTCATTGATTTGGTGTTGGCAGGTGCTGGGTGCCCAGGCCCACACCCCATCGGGAGCTCTGCCGCAGCTCGGTGTCGTGGGTGTGCTCCTGCCGAGCTTCAGTGGTCAGCACTCAGTGACCGGAGTCCCTCTGTGGGGGCGAGCAGGGTGTAGACTCAGGCCAGAGTGGGTGAGAGGGAGGTGGGGAGGGGGGCCGGGTGGTTTTCTCTGTATCTTCTTTTCAGGAGCAGCTGGGAAATCCGACTGCCATGCAGGGTCTCTTGACTTGATGCATTGACTACCAGCTCAAGTTTTGGAGATACCCTTCGGGCCACATTGCAGCCAAACCTAGTGGGATTCCTGCTCCACAGTAGCCAGGCTAGAATCGGGATTGGGGCTTTAAAGGGTGCCATGTCCAGGCCTAGCCTTAGAGATGGGCCTGGGTCAGCAGTGATTCTCGTGGCTATGGCAGAGACCCCTGGCTGGTGCGTGAAGGGTAGTGCTACACTTCTCAGCCCCTGGGGTTTGGGGTCTGCTGCTGGGGCCCGCTTGTGCTGGTCACTAGATTCTGGTTGTCACCTCCAGGAGCTTATGGCTCAGTTGGTGAGACACTGCACCACCAGAAAAACATCAACAGGAAGGGCATGAGCACTGGGCAGGGTTGGGGGCTTAGAGAAGAGAGTGGGCAGCAAGGCCTGGGTGGGGAGGGAGATCGACAGCAGGCAGAGAGGCCTGGGCTGGGGTCAGGGCCTCAGGTTGGGTGTGGGAGGTTGTGCTCTCAGCTGCCTTCTCCTCTTCGCTGGTGGGGGGTGCCCTGGCCCCCGCTGGTCTGCTCACGCCATGGGCTGGTCTGGCCCACTGACCCCACTCAGCCCAGGCAGGAAGCAGGATGTCCTGTCATTCCTGGACTCTGGTGTGAGTCTTCCCAGGGAATTGGGTGATCTAGAAACTGTGGGCTTCTTGTCTGGTGGTGGCTGGGGCCTCTGTCGGCAGGGCGCCTGGCTGTGCGGTGGCGGAACGCGGGAGGCCCACTCCACCCCATCCGCAGTTCCTGGGAAGGGAAGTGTGGCTTTTGAGAAGCCCTGCATGTGATTCTAGAGGTGTCCCTGCAGAGGGGGTGTTGTGGCCCCTGGTCCCGCTGTCCTAGAGTGCTCCCAGCCCCTGCCCACCCAGCTCTGTCTCACTGCACAGCCTGGAGGCCCAGGCGCTCAGGGCCTAGCCTGTGATGGATGTGAGAGACTATCTGGGGCCACTCAGGAGGTGGCCATGGGGGTCTTGGTTGGGACCTGGGCAGGGAGAGGCGGTGAGGCCCCTGGTGCCCGGGGGCCCTCCTGATGCCGTGGTCTCTTTACCTCCCCAGGTTTGGAAGGCATTTTGAGTCACCGCTCCTCTGGCAGAGCATAGTCATGATCTTGACCATGTTACTGATGTTGAAGCTCTGCACTGAAGTCCGCGTGACAAATGAGCTGAACGTAAAACGCCGTTTCTTTGCAGGTTGGTGATCTGCAACTTTGGGAATAAAGCCCTCAGTCAACAAGCAAAACTCCTCCTGTGTTCATGGGTGAAGTAAGAGCCGCTTTGGTGTTACCTGAGTGGCTCTCGTTTCACCAAATGCACGGTTATGTAACTGACGTGTTTCCAGTGTGCTGAGTGTTTATTTAAAATGGGATGATCTCTTCCCTGAAATTTGGGCAAGTTATGAACTTAACGTGTTCCTGTTCACTGTGATTGTTACGCGGGGACTCTGAATTGGGGTAGGAGGTGTGTGTCTGTTGTCGGTGTCTTTTTTGGCACGATCAGGTCAGAGAAGGATTTGCCCAAGAAGGCAGTTTTCTCTGTGTGTGTGGCTGGTACATAAAACATTCCCTTTCAGTTACCATTTAGCTGAGGCTGAGTTAACTGGGATCTTCCTCATGTACCTTGTTAAACATTCACCTGAGGTCATGCTCTTGTGGGGCCGGTGGGTTGTCACCTGGAGCGGGCCTGCAGGGTCTGCACGCTTGGGCGGGACGAATTACACGCTCAGCCGTGCTGCTCCGTGACTTTGTGGCTCAGAAAATAGAAAATACTTCTTGTTTTTGCCTTTTCCTTTGAAAAAGCTCCTTCTGGGCTGATGTTTGTGTTTGAACACACAGGAGGGTTAATGCCTTACTTCTGGTTTTCTTCTAGTTACTAAATAGAAGACAGCTCTCACTTTGATTTTGTCTGAAGTGGTGTGTGTGATCTCAGCTGTCGCTTAGAGAAGCGTTTTTGCTGGAGTGTGTTTAGTTCTGGGGCTCCTGTGGACTTGAGGTCTTGCTCCTGTATTTTCATTCCTGGTGGTTATTTTCTTTCCGTTGGAGCAGATCCTTTCCCCTGTGTAGCTTCTGTTTTTAGAGATGAAGGTATGCCAGTTTCAGTCTTTGTAGAAAATAGGTCAGCCTCCAGCTCTGGTGGGTGGCCTGGACCAGTTCATGTCACTTTCGGTCAAGTGACCACCGTGGTCTGCTTCTGTTGCAGTTTTGTTCTTTCTCCCCCATTAATCCCTCCTCTGAGACCCGTTCTCCTATCTCGCTGCTGACAGTGCTGGTCGTACTGCTGGTCTCGCCTTGAGAGCAGGGCTTCTCCGCCCGCCCAGCCCTTAGGAGGTGAGGGGCTGGCACGGCTTCTGCCGCTTCTCTCTGTGATCTGCGAACCTCACCTTCAGTGTGGCTCAAGGTCTGCGCCCGCTGCGGCGGGGGTGGTGTGGGCTTGGTCAGTAGTGTTTCTGCCCCCCAGGGAAGGACGAAAGTCAGGAGAAGAAGACACTTGGTGCCCACGGTTGCTTGGTGTTCCTCTGCCTCAGGCTCTGAAACGTGAGATCAGGTGTCATGATCTTGCTGGAAATAGTGTGAGGCTCGCTGAGGGGGTGCCAGATACAGCGGGGGTGTGGGCCTCCAGGCCAGGGAGCGGTCCTAGAGTCTAACCTTTCTGTGACCTGGTTGAAAGACAGGCCGTCCGCTGCCCGCGTCTGCTGTCTGCCTTCCTGGAGTCTCACCGGCAGGTCTCCAGGAGGCACAGGTGAGCGTGAGGGCAGGGGCAGACCTCAGGTGAGCGTGAGGGCAGGGTCAGACCCTGTGAGCAGGGAGCGGGGCCTCTTCCGGCAGCTCTTGGCACCGCAGGTCTCTCTCGTTCCGTCTTGACTGCTAGTGTCGTATACAAATTCTTCCACAAGGACTATTTCTAATTCTGGTTAACTAGGATGGATTGAGTTAAAATAGTGAATCCCAATTTCCAGGGATAGGCCTGCAATCTGAATGTTAACAAGGGACCCTCTCTTCGATGAGCAAATGAACGGAGCCCCCATACATCCACACCTGGGAACCTGTGAGGGGCCACATCACGTGGTATGGGGCTTGCAGCGGTGAGGAGCGCTGAGGCCTCCAGTGGGGGTTGTCCCGGACTGTCTGGGTGGACCCGTTGTCGGCAAAGGCCCTTAGAGTAGAAGAGGAGACAGGAGACGGCCAGGGATGGACTTGAGGAAGAAGTGGTTCTGGCTTTGGACGTGGGGGAAGGGGCAGGAAGCAGAAGCACAGCAGGCTCTTGAGGCTGGAACGGCCCTCATCTTCCAGCCGGCAAGGACACGGGGACATACAGAAAACAGAAGTGAAACAACAGACACAAATCCAAACACATCAAAATAGCATTAAATGTGAATGAATTAAACAACCCAAATCAGAGGGCATAATTGCCAGAATGAATTTTTTTAAGGTCCACTATATGCTGTCTAGAGGAAACACCCGCTCAGGTCGTGATGCCGGGGTCCTGGGATCCAGCCCTGCATCAGGCTCCCTGCTCGGCGGGCAGCCTGCCGCTCCCTCTGCCCCTGCCCCCCCCACCCCCCAGGGCTGCGGTGGGCTTTGACCTTGCCTCTTGGAACAGCAGCCCCCTGGACCTGTCCCTGCCTGGCTGGCCTGCTCTCTGCAGTATGGCTCTGGTGGGGGATGGAGGACTGTGCCTCATGACCCCTGGGCTCCTTGCTGGGCCCCCAGACAGCCTCAGATGGAGAACCCACCCCTAAACTCCGCCTGCCAGAACACAGCTAGATGTGTTGGAGAATTCTTGAGATTCATACTTAATTCTTGAATCCATTTAGATTTACATATTTTTGTGTCTCCTACATATGAGATACACAGCATACTCCGAAGGGAAGCTTTTTAATGAAATGTGTTTTTTTTTCCTGTCCTCTGCTAGAAGTGGGAGGGTGGGGGATGAAAACTGACCAGTTCCAGCTGGAAGCTCTGAGGTCACGTGACCGTGGTGCCCTGGGCCTCCCTGTGGAAGGCGGGCGGCCCCCACTTCCTGGCGGTTTTCTGCTGGGGTGTTGGGAGGTTGCCTGGGGCCGGCTGACCACGCACACTTTCAAGTACTTTATGAAGGAAATCTTTAATAGTCATATTTCAGCGTTCTCATAGGATAGTCAGCCTAAAAAAATGATAAAAGCTTAAATGTTTTACAACTGTCTTTTATAGAGGTTTTTAATTTTGAAGGTACCAGTTCAGCTTGGAAGTTAAGATTAAAGAAATAAATGGAATCAAAGGAGAAAAAGCAGGTTACTTACAAAATTAAATGTGTAATTTCTTATCTGATTATAAAGAGCCGTACATGCTCGTTGTCGACATTTTGGGGAAGAGAGAGGAATATAAAGTAAAAGCAAGTAGCTTTTCATCCACCCTTCCAGAGGTGATGTCTGTGAACGCTGGGGACACTTTTGCAGTCTGTCTCCTATTGCAAAATTGGGATTATTTCAAAATGAGGCTCAAATTTTTAAAAATGTCTCCTTCCACTGGGGGCTCTTTCTGTGCCCTTGTTCATTCACGGTGTAGGTTGGGCTGGGGTGTGGGTCCCAGAGGTGGCTTCTGCCTCTAAGGACGGCCCGGCTCACGTGTTCCAGGAAGAAGTCTTCTGGAGAAGCTAATGTGTACCCACCGTGTAACTACCAAGTGACAGTGGAGTTTGATGTGTCTAGTGTGTGCTGTGTTTTTCCTTTTCCTCTGTCACGTTTTATTGTGGAGAACTTAACATATACGGAATCGGGGAGAGTATGTATGAGCCCTCGTGTAATCATGCCCACCTCCATCTGCTCCCCTAGATCCTGCTCACGCCGCCTGCCTGCAGTTTTTGAAGCAAATTCCAGATATACTCTGTTTGTAAATAGTTCATAATGTATCTCTAAAAGAGAAGGACTTTATCAGCCATAAAAAATGAGTTCCTTAATTATCAAATACACAGTTTATGTGTAAGTTTGTAGCCGCCTCATCACTTCCTCATTTCTGGCTGCTTTATCTCCTCGAGCCAGGGTCCCATTACAGGCTGCACAGTGTGATCAGCTGATTGTCTTTTTTTTTTTTTATTTGTTTGAGAGAGAGGAGTGGGAGGGGCAGAGGGAGAGGGACAAGCAGGCTCGATGCGGGGCTTGATCCCAGGACCCTGGGATCATGACCTGAGCCAAAGAAAGCAGACGCTTAGCGACTGAGCCACCCAGCACCTGCTGGTTGTCTTTTAATCTACAGATTCTCCCCAACTCCCCTTGTCTGTGGAACTTGTCTGCCCTTACAACGGGTAGCTCGCTCTGCGCATCTGTGTGCTGCACACCCAGCACTCTCTTGGTGGGCGAACAGCCCAGAGCGTGCGGGGAATGCAGAATCGAGACCTCAGCCACATCTGCGTGGGGACAAGATCCCTGCTACTGCAGGGGACATTTGAGAAGCCCTTCACGGAGGTGGTCCCGGCCCGGCTTCTGCTGGCCACACCCCGTGGTGGTCTGTCACGTCTTCCTGTCTGTGGTGTGCCCCTGTGTAAGAACACTGGAGGGCGCCTGGGTGGCTCAGTTGGTTAAGCGACTGCCTTCGGCTCAGGTCATGATCCTGGAGTCCCGGGATCGAGTCCCGCATCGGGCTCCCTGCTCAGCGGGGGGTCTGCTTCTCCCTCTGACCCTCCCCCCTCTCATGTGCTCATTCCCTCTCTCTCTCTCATTCTGTCTCAAATAAATAAATAAAATCTTTAAAAAAAAAAAAAAGAACACTGGAAAAAGATCAGTGGATCCAGATGTCTGGTCAGATGTAGGTTTGGTTCTCTTTATTTTTTGCTGGACTGTTGTGTTCTTCCCCAAGGATGCCCGAATTGTTGGCTTGTCTCTTTCTGGATGTTAGTGGTGGTGGGTGCCCAGTGCCTAGACCCATTAGTTGTGAGACTGCATTGATATTCTTTCCGTCTTTGCTCACCTGTTGGCTGGAGGGCTTCTCTGAAGAGAAACTTCCCCTGTAAATGCTATTCAGTTATCCAGTGGTATAATTTATAAATTAAAGGCAGATAATTGCTTCTTTCTCTTTATTTGCCGGTCTTCAAAATTGGTTCCCTGGCATCTTGCAACAGTGATCACGTTGTTTTTCTATTGTGAGTATATGGATTTATTTGATGTGTTTCTCTTGGTTGCCATTATTATATTTGTTGAAGGCCCCGTTGACTCCTGTCTGCCAGTGGGAGCCTCTTCAGTTGGCTCCTGACTTTTTGGCATAGACGAGTGGCCCCTAGGCCCCTGATCTTGGTATGACAAGATTGTCTTCTATTTCTGCCCCAGACCTGGAGTTGGCCATTTCTCCAAGGAGCCCTTGTGGTATGTGGGTGTGGTGTTTGGAGACCACACTCTGGTCACTGGGACAGCTGTGGGATTGGGGGTTGTTTTTGGCGTTTTCAGTGGATGGGAGATTTTGTGGCCAATGAAATAGTTCAGGTGTGCTCACACCTCTAGCTGACTCTACAGACCCTTCAGTCGCGTCTCGGATCTTCCACGGGCTTCTCAAGGACCCAAGAATGAAAGAATGTCAGGACTTGCTTCCCCCTCTGCTCGCAGTGGTCTCCGTAAGGAGCCTCCTGGAACACTGTTTTCTTGGGGGTCCTAGGACGATCCATTTTTACCATCGATGACTTTGTTCAGAGTCACTGGGAATAGTGGCTCCTTATGGGTAGGCACTCACAGCAGACTTATTTGTTCCTTTTTATTCAAGAAACAACATTGTCTGTGGCTCAAAGTCAGGTGGTTGCCTTCATTTGACTTTGCCCCAAATCTCAGCACTCCAAGCTCCAGCATGGAATTGGCTGTGGAGGTGGGTGGGGGAATGGGGAGTGCCTGCTAACGGGGCAGGGTTCCTGTGTAGGTGATGAAAGTGTTCTAAAATTAGACTGCGGCTGCGTTTGTGCAACTCTGGGAACATGCTACAGCCCAGTCACTTCATGGGTGAACTTTTATTACAGGCAGTTCTGTCTCGATAAAACTGAAAAATGTTGGACGGGGAGGGTCACATACCATCCTGAGAATGAAAGCTGAGGACCCCCCACACACACCCCACCCTGGAAGATGTTTATCTATAAACCATTCTGCATTTTTAAGGGTTAATCAGTGTCCTTGGACACTGGTTACGAATCCTGTATCTGCCCTGACCACAGCCCTCACTCTGATGTCGGTCTTGTGTCCGTTTTCCCTGGACCTCCCCCTGGCCCCCTGGTCTCCGGGTCGTCCTGTATGTGTAACCATCGCCCCTCCACGTCCCTCACTCTCTGTTCCTCCCAGCTGGTCTCTCCACATGCCTACAGCAGTGGATCTCACACGGTGACGAGGACCAGAAGCCCTGGAAACTGCTGATGGTCTGGCTCTTGTCAGCGCCCCAGCCTTCCCTCCTGCTGTCCCTGAGCTGTCCTCTGGCATTCAGGACGGCCAGTTCTCCTGTCTGAGCTCATGCCAGAACTTCTGTCATGCTCTGTGCAGTCTCTGTGGCTGCTCGACAAGTAACCCCAAAACTTGGTGCCTTGGGTCTCTTTCACTCTCCCTCCTTTCCTCTCACTTGCTCACGTGTCTGGGGAGTCTGCTGGGACAGCCTCACGTGGCCTCCTCACATGGCCTACGCTTCCTTACGGCATCCAGGTTTCAAGGGGTGCATCTGAGAGAGAACCAGGTGGGAGCTGTGTCTTTCTTATGATCTGGTCTTGGGGATCATGCAGCATCACCTTTGCAGACCGGAGTGGTCACAGTCCCTGGGAATCAAGGGGCGAGAACCCGGAGCCATGTCCAGTGGGGAGCGGTGAGGCTCTGACGTGAATGTGGACATGTGGCTGAGGCTGGTTCTAAACCTCAGCGCCTAGCCTGGACCACGTGTTCAGCATGGACGTGTGTTCCTAACTGGGCTCTCAGCTTCTCACCCCCAGTCTGTCCTGCGCAGAGAAGTTTCTCTGCTATCTAGCAGGAAACCTTAGGTGGCTTGATGCTGTCCTTGGGAAAGAGTCCGACAGGGACTTGAGTCTCCTCACCCTGACCCACGCCTCCCTACCGGCTGCTGCTTTTCCTTCCCCCACTGTGCTGCCCGGAGAGCCCCATGGGCCACGTTCTCTCACTCTGGGGCCTCACCCTGGCCTCGCCCTGCTACCTGGCATGCTTCCAAGCTCTGTTCGTCTGCTGGGCATGATCAGGCCTGAGACGAGAGGGGAGACGGTGTATGGGATGTCTGACCTGCTCCTGGAGCCACATCGAGCAGTCTGTCCTGCGAGCAGTCTGTCCTGCATCCCCTTCGTCCCCTCCCCCTTCCACTTTGGGACCTGATCTTTAGCAGACGTGTTAGTGAGTGGTGAAATTGGTCCCAAGCAAGAAATAGAAGCAAAAAGCTGCGGAAATCCGGCTGAGCCTGGGTATTCAAGCCCAGTGGGTTCAGGAGGGGGAGCTGGGGAGGGGCTGGGTGAGGAGATGAGGCCTTGCTGCTCACTCGCTGGTGCTGCTGGCTCAGGGAGCCCTCACGTGGGCCGGGCAGCCACTCCTTGTAAGCAGGGTCTGTGGGCATCTGCTGTCCCCAAGCATGGAGCCAGTCTGGTGTTTTCGTTGAGCTGTTTCCTTGCAATCTGTCCTTTTATAGGTGGAGCCTCATTACCTGGGGCAGATGACATGGACCTGAGTCCAGTGACTCTTCCATCCGTCTTCCACACTCCATCCTGGGCTCTGGCCTGGGGGCATGCTGACTGTATCTTCACGGGCCGTGGGCTGCCGTCCTGGGCAGCACAGAGTAGGGGGGTCTTGGGTGGGGCTGGGCTGCTGAAGGAGCAAGGTGCCCCGGGGAGGGAGTCATCTTGGGCTCTGTCAGGGGCTGCTGCATGGGCCAGGGACACGTGCTCCCTGGCGGGACAGAACGTGGCATTGTCTGTGGGCCCCTTGCTTGTCAGGGTCACACGTTGAACGCTTTCCACGTTGCCAGCGGGCATTTCGTTGAGCGTGCTCTGAAAACAGCTCTATGCAGTGGCCTTCTGACGAGTTTGACCCTGGGACAACTCTATTGCAAGCAAAGCTCGCATGTGGATGAGTTTTTAGGGGAAAATAGAAGTAGCATCTGCTTTCTCTTTCTCTCAGCATAGTGGACGTGCGATGGGCTTTATGCCACCTCTGACCTTAGAAATTAAGTGAAAATGCAGTGACGTTTCATTGTTCGCCCAAGATTTCCTCCTCGTGCCCCGGCAGTTCTACTGGAAGAGGGTAGGTTTGGGGGAAAATAGTTCAGAAAACAAATGTCCTAATACACAGAAACCAAGATCTTGTCCTTCTGTTTTTAAAAGGCATGCAAAGAGGGCTGGGAGCCACTGCTGCTTATGAGTGTTAAAACCCGTCTGTTTCTGTTTCTTCCTCCTTCCTGTTTTTCTCTTTCTTTAAATGTAGCTGCAGATAATAAGGATGAAGAAATCAAGGTCCCCCCCAGGCGGTCGTATCTGGGTACGTACCACACCGCTCAAGGCTGCCCACTGGACCCTTCGCTTCATTCATTCTGTGCATCTCTGTCCCCACTCAGCCTCACTGTCATGCTGCTCCGTGTGTGTGACTCATTTTACTAAGCACGGCCGTGTCGCCAGCAAACTAACCAATCCATAGCCTGCTATTTTTAAGCATGAACTAGTTCCTAGAAACCTGCCCGTTTGTGTGTGTGTGTGTGTGTGTGTGAGAGAGAGAGAGAGAGAGGAAGAGAGAGAGAAAGAGGGAGGGAGGGAGGGATGGTGGGAGACAGGTGGAAACATGATCAGAGTACAAGTTTTGGAGTGCTTTTGTTAAATTTATTACAAAGTGTTCTATTCTTCTTGATGCTATGGTAAATGGAATTGTTTTCATAATTTCATTTTGGATTGTTCATTGCTATCTTGTAGAAATAAAATTGATTTTCACGTATTGATCTTGTATCCTGCAACTTTGCTGATCTCATTCATTAGTTCTAATAGCTTTTTAGTGTAGTCTTTAGGATTTCTCTGTAGGAGATTATGTCATCTGCAAATAGAGTTAGTTTTACTTTTTCCTTTCCAGTCTGCATGCTTTTTCTTTTTCTTGTCTATTTACCCTAGAATTAGAAATGGCTAGAACGGTGGGCGCCTGGGTGGCTCAGTCGTTAAGTGTCTGCCTTCGGCTCAGGTCATGATCCCAGAGTCCTGGGATCGAGTCCCCCATCGGGCTCCCTGCTCGGCGGGGAGCCTGCTTCTTCCTCTCCCGCTCTCCCTGCTTGTGGTCCTGCTCTCGCTGTCTCTCTCTCTGTCAAATAAATAAATAAAATCTAAAAAAAAAAAAAAAAAAGAAATGGCTAGAACGGTGAGCGTAGATAGTGCTTGTCTTGTTCTGGTCTTAATGAAAAGGCATTCTGTCACCATCAAGCATGATGTTAGCTGTGGAGTTTACATAGATGCCTCATATTAGATGAAGCAAGAACCTTTCTATTCTGAGTTTGTTGAGTGTTTCTTTTTATCATGAAACAATGTTGAAGTTTGTCTAATGCTTTTCTGTGTCTCTTGAGATGATCATGTGGTTTTGTCCTTTATTCTACATTGATTTTTGTATGTTGCACCAACATTGAGTTCTTGGGATAAATCCCATCTGATTGTGATGTGTAATCCTTTTTATAAGTTGCTGGATTCTGTTTGCTAGTATTATGTTAAGGATTTTTATGTCCATATTCACAAGAGGTATTGGTCTGCTTTTTTTTTTTAATTCTTGTGATGACTTTGGTTTTAGCATCAGGATAGTACTGGTCTTCTGAGTCAGGCTGGGAATGGGAAGTGTTCCCTCCTCTTCTATTTTGTTTTAAGTTTGTGAAGGATGGGTATCAATTCCTTATTAATTAAAAAATTTTTTTGAGGTGTAATTGACATATAACATCAGCTTCAAATATATAGTAAGTCTAGTTAACATTGTTAACATCAGTCATTTTACATGGTTGCAAAAAAGTGTTTTTTATGATGACGACTTTTAAGATCTACTCTTGCTAAGCAACTTTCAAATGTGCAACACAGTCTTGTCAACTGCAATCACCATGCTGTACCTTACCTCCCTGTGACTTACTTATTTTGGAACTGAAAGCTTGTACCTTTGACCACCATCACCCATTTTACGCAGCCTGAATCCCTCACCTCTGGAAACCACCTATCTGTTCTCTGTATCTATGGGCTTGTTTTGTTTCTTTAAATTCCATATATAAATGCAATCATACAGTATTTGTGTTTTTCTGTCTGACTTATTTCACTTAGTTTAATGCCCTCAGGTTCCATTCATGTCGAAAATGGCAGGACTTTTTTCTTTTTTATGCTGAATAATATTCCATTGTGTATATATATATACCACATGTTCTTTATCCATTCATCAATGGATGGACACTTGGGCTGCTTCCAGATCTTGGTTATTGTAAATAATGCTGCTATAAATATAGGGGTGCATATATCTTTTTGAATTAGTGTTTTTGTTTTCTTCGGATAAATACCTAGTAGTGGAGTTGCTGGTAATTCTACTTTTAATGTTTTAAGGAACCTCCACACTGTTTTCCAGAGTGGCTGCACCAGTGTGCATTCCCACCAACAGTGCACGAGGGGTCCTTTTCCTCCACATCTTCACCAACACTTGCTATCTGTTGTCTTTTTGATAATAGTCACTCGTGTGCTTTGATGGTGTTCTTTGCTGTGCAGAAGCTTTTTAGTTTGATGTGGTCCCACTTGTTTATTTTTGCTTTTGTTTCCTTTGCTTTTGGAGTTAGATCCAGACCAGTGTCACAGAGCTTACTGCCTATGTTTCTTTCTAGGAGGCTTTTTTTTTAATTGAAATATATTTGACATACAACATTGTGGAAATTTAAGGTGTACAGCATGTCACTTTGATATATTTATATATTGTTTTTATTTGTTTTTGTTTTTTTAATACATTTATATATTGTAATATGATTGCCATTGTAGTGATAATTAGCACCTCTATCATATTACATAGCTATCATTTCTTTGTTGTGGTTAGAATAATTACATTTTAAAGATTTATTTATTTATTTATTTATTTATTTATTTGACAGAGAAAGACACAGCGAGAGAGGGAACACAAATGGGGAGTGGGAGAGGGAGAAGCAGACTCCCTGCTGAGCAGGGAGCCCG